TTTATATTATTTGCAGTTGTAATAATTATGTTAGCAGTAAAAAATAATATTAATATCAATAATAATAATAATATATATTATTAATTTATTGATAATATTATTGAACAGTAATAGTAATAATAACAATAAAAGTATAGAATAATAATAATAAATTATATAATAATAATAATGTTATTATTTTTGTTAATAATATTATTATACAGGAGTAATAATAATAATAAAAATAAAATTATATAATAATAATATTAATAATAATAGGAATATGAAAATAACAAAATTAATATTATTAGTTTAATTATATAGTAATAATTAGTCTGTTAAAAAGTATTAATGATGCTGCTACTTTGTTTATATTTGTTTTTTTACTGCTTTTGTTTGTTGTGTTGGTTATATCATTTTAATATTATTATTTTTTGTTTTTTTATTGCTGTTCTTCCTTTTGCTGCTTGCTTATTATTACATTTATAGGTTGGGGGCTCTAAGTTTACTAGGGTTTAGGGTTTAGGGTTTAGGGTTTAGAGCTACTGGCTCTTGCTGCTGAGGGGGCTGCAGATGCAACCACAGCAGAGATAGCAGCAGCAAAAACAATCGTAACAGCTCAGCAGCAGCTGCTGCTGCAGTTGTTGCTGCTGCAGCTGCTGCAGTTGCTGAAGTTGCTGCTGCTGTTGCTGCCGTTGCTGCTGTTGCCGCTGCTGCTGCTGTTGCTTCAGCAGAGTTGCTGCTGCGGTTGCATTTGTCTGCAGCATACATCTCACCAAGCAAAGCAGTTTGTTTGTTTCTAGTAATAGGGTTTAGGGTTTAGGGTTTAAGATTTGGAGTTTAGAAGAGTTTAGGGTCGAGGGTTTAGAGTATAAGGTCTAGGGTTTACACTTTAGTGTCTGGGGATTAGGGTTTAGGGTTTAGGGTTTAGGGTTTAGGTTTTTTTATTCATTTGTGTGCGACTAGTAGGGAAGGCTATTGGTGTGTGCTATCTGCGGCAGCGTCTATCTGCTGCTGATGTTCTTAGTGTCTTTGCTGCTGTTGCTGCCTCTATTGTTGTTGGTGTTGCTGTTGTTGCTGCTGCTGCTGCTGTTGCTGCTGCTGCTGCTGCTACTGCTGCTGCTGCTGCTGCCTTGATCCTACTGCCAGCAGCGTGCAGAAACATAAGCAGAGGGGTGCAAAGAGCGAAGAAGGCTTGCGATTAAACATAATTGAACATAAATATATAATTTTTAAAGATATAAAAATATAATTTTATTGTTTATTTCATTGTTTTATTAGCGGCTTCCTGCTGGCTTTCTGCTGCTGCGAAGAGGCATAACGCTCGCGGTGCTGCTGGTTAGTAATTTGGGGTGTCTGTGCAGGTGTATATATACTTAAAATGATGGAAATAAATAGATAAAGAAGAATATAAAAGTTATTTTATAAAAATATTTAAAAATAAATAACAAAAGCAGAAAAATTGATGCTGGGCGTGGGGTTGGTGTTGCTGCGGATGCAGCAGCAACGAGAAGGTCACCGAAGAGATTGCTGCAGCACAGCAATGAAATGTTTGATGTTGTGTTTGCTGCAAGCATTATAAATTAATTTGTTTCTTTATTTTCTTATTTAGTTTCCTCTTTAGTCTTCTAGAAGGTCCGTACTCGCCCATACTACACCGCAGCTGCAGCAGCAGCAGCAGCAGCAGCAGCAACGCGCCGCAGCAACGGTCACTTGGGGTGTACAGACAGCTCAGACTCCCTCTTCCACATTTTCTTCTTTTGCTGCCTTTGTTTGTTATCAGACACTTCAGAACCACCCCCTGACAACAGGTACTGCAGCCTCCGAGGCAGCAACACAGCAGCAACAGCAGCAGCAGCAGCAACACAGCAGCAGCAGCAACTGCAGCAGCAGCAACAACAACAGCAGCAGCAGCGACCAACCCGGTTTTGCTACCATAAAACATAACCCTGTCAGTGTCTGATGCTGGGGCATTTAGCAACAACGCCGGAGTAGCAGCAGCAGCAACACTGGTCAGGGCGACAGCACCAGCAGCAGCAGTAGCAGTAGCAACTGCAGCAGCAGGCGTCACACAAGAAGCAATCGCAGCAGCAGCAGCAGCAGTAGCAGTTCCTCCGCAGCTCCTCATCTCCCTGTTGCTGCGGCTGTGCCCCTGCCTGTTCTCTTGCTTACCAGCAGCAGCAACGACAGAAGCAGCAGCAGCAGCAGCAGCAGCAGCAGCAGCAACAGCAGCAGCAACGACACCAGCACCATAAAAGACAATTCAACTGTAGCACCTGCAACAGCTGCAGCAAACGGAGCAACTTCAGCACCAGCAGCACTAGTGGAGGCAGCGGGCAGGACCGCAGCAGCAGCAGCAGCAATAGCAGCAGCAACCGCAGCAGCAGCAGCAGCAGCAGGAAGCAGGTTTGATGTTGGGATGCTATAAACGACTATCTTGAGCCTCTCTGTCTTTCTTACACTTCCATCTCTCGGTGGTGGGGGGCCACCGCCGGTACAGCAGCAGCAACAGAAGTAGCAGCAGCAGCAGCCGCGGCCGCAGCAGCAGCCGCAGCAGCAGCAACACACCCCTCCGTGCACATAGGGGGCCCCACAGGTAGCAACGCGGGCGTTTGGGGGCCCCTCTGGGTACACAATGCCTCACATGCCTCGCCGCGACGTTCCTGCTGCTGCTGCAGCAGCAGCAGCTGCTGCTGCAGACAGCAGCAACAACAGCTGCAGCAGCAGCAACAGCAGCAAAAGCAACGGAAAAACCGGTGGATTAAAACAGCACAAGATAGAAGCCACAAAAGAAAAAAATAAAAAGCCTGCTGCACCTGCTGCTCAGCAAGACAGGAAGGAGCAGCAGCAGCAGCAGCAGCAACACCCGCAGCAGCAGCAACAGCAACACCCGCAGCAGCAACAGCAACCACAGCAACAGCAGAAAACACGGAACCAGCAGCCACAGCAGCAACAGCAGCAGCAGCAGCAACAACACCCGCAGCAGCAGCAGCAGCAGCAGCAACACGCGCAGCAGCAGCAGCAGCTGCAACAGGCGCAGGAGACACAGCAACAGCAGCAGCTAGCAGCACAGCAGCAGCAACCGAAACAACAGCCACAAGCACAGCAGCAGCAGCACACGAACGAGCAGCAGCACCAAAACCAGCAGCAACCGCAACAACAGCCAGACCAGCAGCAGCAGCAGCAGCAGCAACAGCAGCAACTGCAACAGCAGCAGCAGCAGCAGCAGCAGAGGGGCGCAACAAAAAAGGCAGGAAGACGGGGAGGTTCAGGCAGAGGTAAACAAAAACGAAGCCCCTCAGATATGCAGCAAGAAGCAAAAGAACAGCTTCATCCTGCTGCTGCTGCTGCTGCTGTTGCACAACAGCAGCAGCAGCTGCTGCAGCAGCAGCAACTTGAGCGCCAACAACTGCAGCAGCAGCAGTTGCTGCAGCAGCTGCAGCACCAACTGCAACAGAGGCACCTGATGCAGCACCATGATCGCAGCCAACTGATGGGGTTGCCTTTAGCAGCAGCTGGGCAGCAGCAGCAGAAGCAGCAGCAGCAGCAGCAGCAGCAACTGCTCCTGCTGCAGCAGCTGACTTCAAGCGTGAATAACGCTGCTGCCGCAGGAACAAAGAGCGAAGCAATCATGAATGAACAGCAGCAGCTGCTGCGGCAGCGCCTCATTGAGTTGCAGCAGCAGCAACATTTGCTGCAGCAGCAGCACCAACAGCAGCAGCAGCAACACCTCCGGCAACAGCAGCTATACCGCCAGCACCTACAGCAGCAAGAGCAAGAGCGTGGAGTGCAGCAGCAGCATGTGCACCAACAACAGCAGCAGCAGCACCTCCACCCCGAGCTGCAGCAGCAACACATGCAGCAGCAGCTGCATCCGCAACAGCAGCAGCAGCATCAAGTGCTTCAGCAGCATATCCAGGAGCCTCCTCTTCAGCAGCAGCAGCATCTGCAGCAAACGCAGCAGCCGGAGCAGCACGAATTTCGGCAGCAGAACCCCCTTGCATTTCCACAGCAACAGCAGCAGCAGCAGCAGCACGTGAAGCAGCAGCAGCAGCAAATGCACCAGCACCTGCTGCAACAGCTCCAGCACTTACAGCAGCATCCACAGCATATTCAGCAGATTGTGGAACCGATACTGCTGCAGCAGCAGCAGCAACAGCAGCAGCAACAGCAGCAGCAACAGCAGCAGCCCCCAGCAGCGAGTCTTTGTAACGAGGATCGGCTGGTGTTACAGCTGGCTCTGGAGCTGCTGCAGCGTTCAGGTCAGCAACAGCAGCAGCAGCAGCAGCAGCACCAGCAGCAGCAACGACAGCAGCAGCAGCAGCAAGTAGCTGCTGCTGCTGCGTTAGCGCAGAAAGCTGCAGCAGCAGAGGCTGCTGCAGCTGCAGCAAGCAGAGACGCTGAAGCACCTGTGGGGTTTGCTGCTGGCCTTAGCAGCGTTGCTGCGGTCCCCCCTTGGGGGCAGACAGCAATGCCTACAGCAGCAGCAGCAGCAGCAGCAGCAGCAAACCAGGGAGGGCTACACCTCGGTGCTGTTGCCGCTCCGCTGCAGAGACAAGATAGGCCTGTCTTGCTGCAGCAGGCTTTACTACAGCAGCAGCAGCAGCAGGTGCAACAGCAGCAGGAGCTAGACGCTTCTTTTGCTGGAGCACATGCTTCTCAGGTGTCTGTCTCCTTATCTTCTGCTGCTTCGCCTCTGCCCCAGCAGCATCCCCAGCAGCAGCAACAGCAGCAGCAGCAGCAGCAGCAACAGCAGCAGGTTGAGTTTGGGGGAATGAAGGCTCGACGCCTAGAGAAGGTCAATGTAGAATATCTAGGAGGCAGCAGCAGCAGCAGCAACAGCGCAAGAAGGTGGGGCTTGCTGCATGTGCATGTACACCCCGGCACATTCGTAGAGCTGCACGGAAAGAGAGAAAAAGTTATTGTAAAACATCTTCAGCTGCAGCCTGCTGCTGCATGCAGCCCCTTGTGGAAGCAGCAGCAGCAGCTGCTGCAGCAGCTGCTGCTGTGGCAGCGCAGCAAATGCTGCGGGCTCATAGCTATTAAGGCCTTCGAAGTGCAGCGCGAAGGAGCTGCTGTCTGCTGGAGCAGCAGCAGCAGCAGCAGCAGCAGCAGCAGCAGCAGCAGCAGCGTGCTGATGAAGACAGATGACTCATCTGCTGCTGCAGCTAGGAGAGACCTTTATGTTGTTCTGGAGGCAGCAGCAGGGCCCCTACATAAACAAATTAATCTGCAGCAACTCAAGCAGCAGAATGATGCTGAAAGTTTGCTTCCCCCCCAAGGAGGTGCGCTTTAGGGCTTAGGGTTTAGGGTTTAGGGTTTAGGGTTTAGGGTTTATTTGGGTTTTCTATTGTTTTGTTATATGCTGCAGCTCTTGCTGCAAGGGCTTTCTCAAGGATTTATATTAGGGTTTATAGGGGTTTATTAGAGTTTATGAGGGTTTATATTAGGGTTTATATTAGGGTTTATATTAGGGTTTATATTAGGGTTTATATTAGGGTTTATATTGGGGTGTATATAAACCCTAACATGTGTTAAAATTAGGGTTTATATAATACTAAATAATAAGGGTTTATATTAGGGTTTCGATTGGGGTTTAGGGTTTAGGGTTTGTGGTTTGTGTGCTTGCAGTAAAGAGTTTGATATCACATCTGCTGCTGTCTTTGCTGCTGCTGCATTCATTCAACGGGGGTTTAGGGTCTCACCTGTCAATACACCCTAACAGTTTGCTGCTGCTGCAGCCTTCATTTAAAGTATTAATCGGAGACAACCTCAGCAGCATGCGGCTGCTGTCTCTTCTTGCTGAGATTAAAACTGGAAGTGTTGCTCTACTAGTAAAGGCGCAGCTATCTCTTAAACTCGTCAGATCTGCTGCTGCTGCCGCTGCTGCTGCTGCTGCTGCTGCTGCTGTGGATGCTGCTGCTGCTGTGGTTGCTGCTGCTGCTGCTGCTGTGGATGCTGCTGCTGTGGATGCTGCTGTTGCTGCTGTCGTTGCTGCTGTTGCTGTGGATGCTGTTGCTGTGGATGCTGCTGCTGCTGCTGCTGCTTCACGTGTTGCTCGTATCATGTTGTTGCCGCAGGTGCTGCTGTTGATGGTTTGCATGCTGTTGCTGCTGCTGCTGCTACGGCCGCATGTAGTTTACTGGTTCTGCTGCTGCTTGCTGCTGCTGCTGCTGCTGTTACTGGTTGCTGTCGCTGTTTCTGTTGCTACGTGGGTTGCTGCTGCTGTATCCATTGGTACTCCTGTTGCTGCAGCTCCTGCTGCTGCTGCTGCAACTCCTGCTTCTGCTGCTGCTGCTGCTGCTGCTGCAGTTCCTAGACGACACCGAACGCTTACTGTGGACATGCCCCAAGTTAATAAAAAGATTGAAGCTGCTGCAGCAGCAATTAAACTCTCTAATGGAGTATCATGCAGACAATCAGCATTTGCTGCACCTGCAGCAGCAGCAGCAGCTGCTGCTGCAGCAGGGAGATGCATGCATGCTCCCTAGCGACAAGCCCTCAACAGCAAGAACCGCAGATACTGCTGCGGCTGCTGCTGCTGCTGCTGGAGACGCTGCTGCTGCTCCCGCTGCACAAGCCACACCCAATGCAGAAGCAACAGCAGCATCTGCAGCAGCAGCAACGCCAGCAGCAACAGCAGCAACAGAAGAAGAAGCAGCAGCAGTGCATGCAGCAATTGAAAAACGTTTTGCTGCTCTCTATAAACTTGCTGATCTCCCGGTGGAGCTGCAGCAAGAAGCAGACTGCTGGTCTATGGGTAAGCCCTAGGGTTTAGGGTTTAGGGTTTAGGGTTTAGGGGTTAGAGGTGATAACGGGAGGAAATGCAGCAGCAAATGCAGCAGCAGCAGCAGCAACAGCAGCAAACAGAGCTGCTCTATCGGAGACGTAAATGCACTAAGCCGCAAGACATTACAAGCGCTTACCCTGCTTCTTCTGCTGCGTTTGCTGCTGCTGTTGTTGCTGCTGCTTCTTGTATTGCTGCTGCTGCTGTTTCCGCGGCTGTTGCTTCTGCTATTGCTGCTGCTTCTGCTGCTGCTTCCCCCATTGCTACTGCGTCTGCTGCTTGTACTGCTGCTGCTGCTGCTGTTCCTGCTGCTGCTGCTTCTCCCATTGCTTCTGCTGCTGCTGCTGCTGCTGCTGCTGCTGCTCAGGCGCATGCATCTTTAGTATTGTGACTGGCGGCTATCATCCCTTCGGGTGTTTAAACAACCCGAAGGAGACCCTCAACAACATGGAGACAGCACAGATGGTCAACATCAAACTCGTGAGAACAAGGGTTTAGGGTCTAGGGTTTAGGGTTTAGGGTTTAGAGGTTTGGGGTTTGGAGCTTGGGGTTTGGTGTTTGGGGTTTGGGGGTTAGAGTTTAGGGTTTAGGGTTTAGGGTTTAGGGTTTAGGGTTTAAGGTTTGGAGGGGCTTCTGTGGTTGCTGCTTGTGCAGCTGGACAAGTCTCCGTTGCTGCAGGATTTGCTGCTGTTGCTGCTACAGCAGCAGCAGCCGCAGCAGCCCGTGCTGCGTTTAGCTGTCTGCCATCCACTGTTCTGGGAAGCAGCAGATATGCTGCTGTTTCTAAAAACGTTTAGACTCATGCTGCAGCAACTGCAGCAGCAGCAGCAGCAGTGCGTCGAGGTGGGGCAAGCGGGCACCTCTGGCAGCAACAGCAGCAGCAGCAGCAGCAGCAGCAGCAGCAGCAGCGAGAAGCCGCTTGGTCTCACTCCGTCCCCCACTACAGCAGGAGCAGCTGCAGCAACGTCTTCCTTCTCAAGCCAATCAGCAGCAGCACCAGCAGCACCTGCAGCAGCAGCAGGGTGCAGCAGCCACCTGCAGCAGCTGCAGCAGGCACTCGATAAGCTAAGAAAAATGAATACGCCTGCTGAAGTGCTGCACTCAGTTTGCTGCCAACCCAAACTCCGACAAACCGGCAGACAGCTGTTTCCGCAGCACAACCAGGTCCTGCTGCTGCTGCTGATGCTACTGCTGGTGCTGCTGCGCTTGCTGCTGCTCCTGCTCCTTCTGCTGCTGCACGTGCTGCTGCTGCACGTGCTGCTGCTGCTGCTGCTGGAGCTGCTGCTGCACGTGCTGTTGCACTGCTGATGTCGTTGCTGCTGCTGGTGTGGCTGCCACTGTGGCTGATGCTGGCTGGCTGCTGCTGCTGTTGCTGCTGCTGCTGCTACGCGTGCTGCTGCTGCTGCTCTTGCTGCATGGTGTTGTTTGCTCTGGTTGGTTTGCGCATGCGCAGCTATTTGTTGAGCCCGTAGCAGCAGCAGCAGCAGAATCAGAAGCAACAGGTCTAACAGAGAAGAAAGCAGCAGCGGCAGCACAAGATCCAGCAGCAGCAGCAGCAGCGGAAGCAGAAACAGAAGCAGCAGAGGCAACACACAAGCTCGCAGATGCCGCCAGTGATGATGTTGCTGCAGCATGCAGCAGCAGCAGCAGCAACAGCACCGAAGGCACAGTGGAGGACGCTGAGGGCAGGTCTCCAGCAGCTGCAGCAGCAGAAGCAGCAGATTCAGCAGCACCAGGTGAAGCAGCTGCAGCAGATGTTGCTGCTGCGGAGGACAATGCTTCTGCTGCTGCTGCCGAGGCTGGCGCAGCAGCAGGAAACCCAGCAGCACCGAAGCAGCAAGGCCCTGCTGCTGCTGAGGAAGGAGTAGCAGCGCAGCAGGCGGCATCTACAGCAGCAGCAGCAGCAGCAGCAACAGCAAATGCATCGTTTTCTGTCTTTAACTTCCTGGAGCTGCTCGCCGCCTTCGCAAACGACAGTAGGAAGATTGCTGCTGCTGCTGCTGCTGCTGCTGTTGCTGCTGCTGGTGATGCTGATGCTGCTGATGTGGCTGCTTGTGCTGTTGCTCGTGATGGCGCCATCGCTGCTGCTACTGCTGCTGCTGCTGCTGCCTCCAATTGCTTTTGCTGCTGTTGTTGCTGCTTCTGCTTTTCGTGTCGCTGCTGCTGCCTGCGGTTGTGCTGTTGTTGTTGTTGCTGCTGCTGCTGCTGGAGAGTTGAGTGCAGTGGTTTGTATTTGCTGCTGCAGATGGATATACAGAAGAGGAGCGCAGCAGCGTGCTGGTGGAGCTGCTGCAGCAGCACCCGCAGCTGCTGCTGGCAGCAGCAAGATCAGGCTTAGAGCCGCTTTTTCTCGTAGCATTTCCTCCTCTGAGTGATTCTGCTGCAGCAGCAGAGAAACAAGAAGCAGCAGCAGCTGCTGCTGCTGCTGCTGCTGCCGCTGCTGCAACTCGAGGTGCTGCAGCAGCGCACGATGAAAACGACGCAGAGCTGCTGCAGCTGCCGCAGCAGCAGCAGCAACAGCAGCTTGTGTTGCAGGAGGGAGTTGCTGCAGCACCGCCTATGTTGAAGCAGCAGCTGCTGCAGATGCAGCAGCAAATAGACAACAGAGTTCACAAAGAGCTGCGGCAGCAAGTGGTGCAGCACGTGCTGGAGAAGGCCTCGGAGCAGCAGCAGCAGCAGCAGCAGCAGCAGCAGCAGCAGGAGACCTCTCCCAAGCAGCAGCTCATAGACAGCGTGAGGGCCTGCGCTCCTACTGCGCTGCAGCAGCAGCACGACCAAAAGGCAGCTGCCTTGAAGCAGCAGCAGCAGCAGCAACAACAACAGCAACAACAAGATATGCTGTTGCTGCTGCAGCAGCAACAAATCGAACATGAGCAGCACTGGCACCAGCAACCGGTGCTAAACCCGCAGCAGCAACATCACCTGCTGCTACAAGAGCAGCAGCAGGAGCAGCTGCAACAGCAGCAGCTGCAGCAGCAGCAGCTGCAGCAGCAGCAGCTGCAGCAGCAGCAGCTGCAGCAGCAGCAGCTGCAGCAGCAACAGCTGCAACAGCAACTGCTGCAGCAGCAGCAGCTTCAACAACAACAACTGCAGCAGCAAGAGCTCCGTAAGCAGCAGCTGCAGCAACAACTGCAGCAAACACTGCAACAGCAGCACAAACAACTTCAGCAGCTGCAGCAGCAGCAGCCGACAGAGCGCTGCGTGTCGCTGCAACAGCAGCAGCAGCAGCAGCCGACAGAGCGCTGCGTGTCGCTGCAACAGCAGCAGCAGCAGCAGCAACACTGGAAGCATCTCTTAGGAAGCCTTCAGCAGGCTGGGGGCCCTGCAGCAGCAGACAACATCCTGTTGCTGCAGCAACTGCAGCAACTCATGAAGCTCTTGCAGCCTCAGGCGGCAACAGCAGAGGAGGCAGCAGCAGCAGCAGCAGCACAACTACAAAATGCTGCTGCTGATATCAAATTGAATGGAGCCCCAGCCCTTCAGCAGCTACATCTGCAGCAGCAGCAGCAGCAGCAACAGCAGATGACTCACCCTGTAATTGATGCAGCCGCAGTGGATCTGCCGCAGCAACTGCAGCAACAGCAACCAGCCCTGCAGCAAGGGCAGCAGCAGCTGCAGCAGCAGCAAAACCAACTACAGCAACTACAGCAACTACAGCAACTGCAGCAACTACAGCAACTGCAGCAACTGCAGCAGGAGCAGCAGCAGCAGCAGCAGAAGGTAGGGCCCGTATATAACCTTGTGGAGCTGCTTTCCCTGCGACCCAGCAGCATGCAGCAGTTTATTGCTGCTGGCGGTGCTTCGATGCTGCCTCACGGTACCCTTATGCTCGTCAGCAGCACCACCAGCAGCATCAGCAGCAGCAGCAACGGCAGCAGCAGCAGCAGCCCGGAGAAGGATTATCTTGCCAAGGGGCCCAAACGCCCTCAGCAGCAGCAGCAGCTGCTGCAGCAGCTGGAGCCCCGGTTGCAGCAGCAGAAGCCAAGGCACCAGCAGCTAAATGACCTTCTGCTGCAGCCTCTACAGTATTTGAGGCAGCAGCAACTGCTGCGGCAGCAGCAGCAGCAGCAGCAGCTGGGGCATAGGCAGCAGCACAGCCACGAAGAAAACCACGGGAACGCGCTTTCGCAGCAGCCGCTGCTGCAGCAGCAACATGTGCAGCAGCAGCTGCATCAGCAGCAGCTGCTGCAGCAGCAGCTAAATGGCAGCAGCAAATCCATTTACTGCAAGCGGATCGAAGCAGCAGCGCCTCTGCTTGACTCTCAGCTGTATGCGCAGGACGCCAAGAGGCTGCTGGAGGCTGCTGCTGCTGCTGCTGCTGCTGCAGCTCCCGCGAGCAGCACCAGCAACAGCAGCACAGGTTCACAAGGGCAGTCTCTGTGGGCAGTCGAGCAGCAACTGGCTGCTCTCCTGCAGCGTTTGCTGCTTCAGTCTACGCAGCAGCAACAGCAAGAACAGCAGCACCAGCAGCAGCAGCACCAGCAGCAGCATCACATGCTAGGCAAGCACGACACAAGGAGGCCCCTGCAGCAGCAAGTCGCCCCAGCCCCAAGTGCAGCAGCAGCAGCAGCAGCAGCAGATTCTCCAGCAGCAACTGCACACAGCAAACTCCACGAGGGCCCTTCCATGCATCTAAGTGGAGCAGCATGCACTCCTGCAGCTGACTCAACTGCAGCAGCAGCAGCAGCTGCTGCTGCGGCTGCTGCTGCAGCTGCTGCAAAGGCAGCTGGAGCCGATCGACACTTGCAGCTACTGCAGCAGCTGCAGCAGTTTCAGCAGCAGCAGCAGCAGCAGCACCTTCTCCTCGAGCCTAATGATGTGCACCAGAAAGGCGCGCCTAAGCAGCAGCTGCTGCAGCAACAGCAGCAGCAGGAGCACCAGCAGCAGCAGCAGAGCAAGCCAAAGGCAGACGGCAGTCTGGAGCAGCACCTGCTGCAGCTGCTGTTAAATGTAGCAGCAGCAAAAAATATGAATCATAAAGAGCTGCTGCAGCAATTCAACAAGCCGCAGCACCAACGGCCGCAGCAGCAAACGGTGGTCCTGCAGCAGCAACCACTGCAGCAGCACGTAAACCAGCAACAGCAGCAGCAGCAGCAGCAACAGCAGCAGCAAGATCTGGGATGGTCTCCAGAGGAACGAGAGGTTGTCTTGAAGGCACAGCAGCATCTGCTGCTGCTGCTGCTGCAAGACCCTTTGCTGCTGCAGGCAGCAAAAGCGAAGGGGGCGCTGCAAGGAAGTTGGCTGTGGCGGCAGCAGCAGCTTGCTGCTGCTGGTGCTGCAGTGCAGCAGCTACAGCAGCAAATCGCAGCAGCAAGTAAGGCAAACCTTACCCGCACAACGGAGAGCCTTCGGCTAGCGCATCTGCAGCAACAGCTGCAGCAGCAACTCCAGCTGCTGCAGCAGCTGCAGCAAGATGCAGCGGCAACCCCCATACCACCACACACATTCACAGATTACGAAAAGGCTCAGCAGCGGCAGCTGCTAGCCCTGCTGCGCCAGCAGCAGCAACAGCAGCAGCAGCAGCAACAGCAGCAGCAGCAGCAGCTACCTCCAGTTAAGCCTTGTACGTCTGTCTTTGCTGGTGAATTTGCTGCTGAAGCAGAGCTGTCTCTGCGGCGAGTCATGAAAGAAGCAGCAGCAGCAATGGGGGGATCAGCACCAGCAGCAGCAGGGGCACCAGCAACAGCAGCAACAACAGCAGCAGCAGCAGCAGACCCTGCTTGGCCCCTCAGGTGGCATGCGCAAGCAAGCGATGCTGCGTTTGCTGCATGGCTTAATGAGATGCTGCAGCAGCAGCAGCAGCAGCAGCAGCGGCACCTGCAGCAGCAACACCTGCAGCAGCAGCATCAGCAGCAACACCTACAGCAACAGCAGGAGCAGCAGCATCAGCAATACCAACAGCAGCAGCAGCAGCAGCGGCAGCAGCAGCAGCAGCAACTGCAGCAGCACGAGCAGCAGCAGCAGCTGCTGCTACAGAGCGCAGCAGCAGCTGCACCCGTCTGCGTCTCCATGGTTGCAGCTCTACAGACGCACGAGGGACTTTCAGCAGCTGCTGCAGCAGCAGCAGAAGCAGCAGCAGCAGCTGCTGCTGCTGCCCCAAATGGGGGGCTGCTGCTTCAGCGCAGCCATGCAGATGAGCTGCAGCAGCAGCAGCTGTTGCAGCAGCAGCAGCCGCAGCTCAGGAGCGCCTCTAATGCAGTCAACCTACGGCATTTAGCCATCAACACAAACAAACAGCAGCAAGACAAACAGCAGCAGCAGCAGCAGCAGCAGCTACAACTGAAGCATCTTCGCCTCCTGGAGCAAAGCATGCAACAGCAAAATCAACAGCAGCAACAGCTGCAGCACCAGCAGCAGCAGCAGAAGCAGCCAAAGCAGCAGCAGCAGCAACACGGCACAAAAGAACTGATTTCACAATCTAGGGACAGCAATCAGCAGCAGCAGCAGCAGCCGCCGCAGCAACAGCCGCAGCAGCAGCCGCAGCAGCAGGAAATTCAGCCATCTCCCCACTACGTGCAAACACTTCAGCAGCCCGACCAGCAGCAGCAGCAGCAACACCAACTGCAGCAGCAGCAGCAGGAACAACAACTGCTGCAGCAGCAGCAGCAGTATGAGCAGCAGCAGCAGCAACAACTACAGCATCAACTGCAGCAAGACCAGAAAAGTCAGCAGCAACAGCAACAGCAGCACCAACCACCACAGCAACAGCAGCAACAGCAGCAACAGCAGCAACAGCAGCAACAGCAGCCGCAGCAGCAGCAAAAGCCCCATGTGAAGAAGAACGGCCGTCGGTCTCCGCAAGCCAAGGACGCTGCATCTCGCCGCAGCAGCAAGCAGCAACAGCAGCAGCAGCAGCAACAACAACAGCAGCGCCAGCAGCAGCAGCAGCCGAAGCTGCAGCAGCAGCAGCACCAGCCACCGGAAGCAGCTTTGAAGGCTGCCTCCACCTCAGCAGCAGAGCAGCAGCAGCAGCCCCCCGAACTACCCATCGAGAAGACAGCAGCCGCAGGTTTGCTGCCAGCAGCAGCTGCTGCAGCAACAGTAGCAGCAGCAGCAGCAACACAAGCAGCAGCAACAGCCGGAGCAGCAGCACCCGTCACAGGAAGCGCTCCAGCGTCTACATCCCAACGACCGCAGCAGCAGCAGCGAAAACAACAGCAACAGCAACAGCAGCAGCAGCAGCAGCAGCAGCAGCAGCAGCAGCAGCAGCAGCAGCAGCAGCAGCAGAAAAGAGGAGAATGGTCTCTTTCTCCGCGACCTCAGAGCAAAGGGAAGGCAAAGCAGAAACTGCGGCTGTACATACAGAAGACGCCAAAACAAAAAACAGCAAACACACGCCAGCAGCAGCAGCAGCAGCAGCAGCAGCAACCGCAGCAGCAGCAGCAGCAACCGCAGCAGCAGCAGCCGCAGCAGCAGCAGCAGCAGCAGCAACCGCGGCAGCAACAGCAGCAGCCGCGGCAGCAACAGCAGCAACAGCAGCAGCAACAGCAGCAGCAGCAAAAGAAGGAGACGCTGGATGGGCCCTCTACTTCATCAGTCAGCATTGACAGAGCAGCAGCAGGAGCTGCTGCCGTAAGTAAATAAAAGCTGCATATACACCCCAGTTATACATAGACTACACTATAGACACGCAGCATGCAGCATGCATCTCCAGGCCTGTTGTTGTTTGCTGCAGCAACAGCCGCCGCCGCTGCTGCTGCTGCTGCTGCTGCAAACAGTAGCAGCGGTTAGTATCTGCTGTGCGTACACCGAGAATCGATGCGGTGTGCATGCAAGCAGCAGCAGCAGCAGCAACAGCAGCAGCGGCAGCAACAGAAGTAGTAGCAATTGCAGCAACAGCAGGAGCATTAACAGCTGCTGCTGCTGCTGCTGCAGCAGCAGCTAAGCTACACGAGGGTCTTTAACCTACACAACATTAACAATAGCAGGGCCTTGGATTGACCTGGTGTAGCGATTAGCGGTCTAGGGTTTAGGGTTTAGGGTTTAGGGTTTAGGATCTAGGGTTTAGTAAAGTTTTAGGGTATAGGGTTTAGGGTTTAGTGTTTAGGGTTTAGGGTTTTACTGTGTAGGGTTTAGGGTTTAGGCGGAGTTTTTTAGGTTTTGGGTTTAGGGTATAGGGTTGAGGGTTTAGAGTTTAGGGTCTAGTAAAGTTTTAGAGAGTAAAGTTTAGGCTTTAGGGTTTAGGGTTTAGGGTTAAGTCTACAGGGTCTAGGGTTTACGGTTTAGGGTTTAGTGCTTAGGGTTTTGGGTTTAGTGTGTACGGTTTAGGGTTTAGGGTTAGGGTTTATTGTTCGCGGTTTAGTGTTTAGGGTTTAGGGTTTTAGGGTTTAGGGTTTAGGGTTTAGGGTTTGCTATGGTGCTATGCTAGTGTTTACTACGGATTAGGGTTTAGGGTTTGTTAGGTAGTAAGGTTTAGGGTTTATCGTAAGCGGTTTAGGGTTTAGGGTTTAGAGCGTAGTGTAATGTTTTATTACTATGATTTATGAGGGTTTTAGGGTTTAGGTTTTAGTGCTTTTATGTTTGACCAGTGTTTAGGGTTTAGGGTTTAGGGTTTAGGGTTTAGGGTTTAGGGTTTATGTGTGTTTTTGATAAGGAAAGACAGGCTGTTGTTTGTGTTGCGAGTTATACAGAAGCAGTAGTTCATTTTAATTAGAGTAGCAGCAAAAAAACTAAAGATGAGAGCTGTTGATTGTATTAAATAAAGAAAAGACAAAGGGGACCAATGGACCGATGCTGCTGCTGCTGCTGCTGCAGCAGCAGCAGCAGCAGCAGCAGCAGTGATTAGCGTTTTTTTTTGTTGTTTGCTGCTGCGTATTCATAAAGTAAAACCCTTCCGAAATTAAATAAGCTAAATAAATAAATAAATATATTGTCTTTAATATCATTTAGCAGCAGCAGCAGCTGCTGCAGCAGCAGCAGCAGCAGCGGTCCTTGTGGGGGGAGAGGGGGTTTGAACCGCTGCTGCTGCTGCTGCTGCTGCTGCTGCTGCTGCTACTGCTGCTATAGTTCGTCTATCTGTCTTTTTTTTCTGTCTCTGTTTGTTGCATTTGGGGTTTTGTTTTGTTTTAATGGTTTGATAGTACAATAAAAAGATATATTTTGCTTGTTGTGGCTCTATACATGCATATATGCTATACCTGCCTATACACCTCAAGGTGTCTCGCCTCCTTACTATATCAATCTAGTGCTGATGAAAGGCTTGCTGCAGCAGCTGCTAACTAACGGAGTTGTTTGTGTTTATTTCTTTTAATTTTAACTCTTCATCGCTGCTTTTAAAGCAGTATAATATCAACACAATCAGCAGCTCTCTCTTACCTCTCATTTTCTTGTCTTCTTCGCTTATTACAGCTGCAGATACACCCGAAGGCCTTTGCTCTTTCTTTGTCTTTACCCTCTGCAATATTCTTTATTTTGCTTCATCCCCATCTATAGAGGAGTTTAAAAGCAAATTGCTGTTTCTGCTACTCCATGTGAGGCCTGCAGCGCTGCTTTTCTTGCTGCTGCTGCTGCTGCTGCTGCTGCTGCTCCTCCGGTTGCTGCTGCTCTCGAGACTGTCGTTGTTGTTGCTGCTGCTGCTGCACACAACACAAGACACCTCTTCCTTTGCTTCTAGCCTTTGTTTTTTCGTTCTGTCTCTCAGTTCGCTGTGCTGCTGGCTGGTGTGCAGCCTGCAGACAGCAGCAGCAGCAGCGGCAGCAGCGGCAGGGAAACAGCAGCAGCAACAACAGCAACAGCAGCAGCTGCTCAGCTGCCTTGTAAACTGTATTAACAAGTGTGTGTCTCTAATCGTCCACGGGTTGCGCCTTGCTGCAGCGGGCTGTAGCAGCGGTTGCCCTATTTGCTGCTGCTGCTGCTGCTTCTGCTGCTGGTGTGCAGGCTACATCATTTACTGCTGCTGCTTTTTACGCCGCAGTTTGTAGGGCTCTTACCCCGTTTGCTGCGGCATCAGGCTGCTGCTGCACCAGCAGCAGCAGCAGCCAGATACCGCAGCTGCTGTTGCAGCAGCGAGACAGACAAGGGGCACCAATAGCAGCAGCAGCAGCAGCAGCAGCAGCAGAAGCAGCAGCAGCAAAAGAAAATGGAGCATCAAGAGGAGGCGTCTCCTTTTGGTTTGTGTCTGCTGCCCTCTCCTGTTAACAAGGATTCATTGATGAGTGTGTCTACTGCTGCTTCGGGAGAGACAATTGCAAGACCTCTTGGTGCTGCTGCTGCTGCTGCTGCTGCTGCTGCTGCTGAAGCAGAAGATGACTTTGGGGGCCTCGTTGATGCGGGAGACAAAGAAGACGCAGCAGAGACTCTCTGGAACTGGAAGCTCAAGCAGCAGCAGCAGCAGCAGAGGCTGCTGCTGCTGCAGCAAGGGACATCAACTGCAGCAGATGCTGTTGCTGCTGCACCTGGAGTCGATTTGCACATCGCAGGAGCAGCAGCAGCAGCAGCCGCAAGTAGGCCTCTCTGTGGCGTCTCCACCTCCGCAGCAGCAGCAGCAGCAGCAGCGGCAGCAGCAGCAGCAGCAACAGCAGCAGGTAGCTGCCGTGAACAGCTGCCGCTGCTAGACCTAGCCCCATCAGATGCAGCAGCATACCCGCTGCTGCATCAGGACAGTGAGGGCTCTCAATTTCTTAGCAGCAGCAGCAGCAGCAGCAGCGCCTCCTTGAGCCCTTCTCCTGTGCTGCTAGATATGGCAGCAGATGGAGTGGGTGTAGGACTAGCAGCAGCAGCAGCAGAAGCAACGGCAGCAGCAGCAGCAGCAGCAGAAGCAGCAGCAGCAAACCCACAAAAGTTCACACCGAAGGCACTTGACGTCCCTGCTGCAGATCCGTGGAAGCCACCGAAGACTAAGCAGCAGCAGCCGAAGCAGCAGAAGCAGAAGCAGCAGCAGCAAAAGCAGCAGCAGCAGCAACAGCAACAGCAAATGCAGCAGCAGCAGAAGCAACAGAAGGACCGCAAAGACATCCTAAATGCAGAAGCAGCAGGACCGTGGAGTTGGAGTGGAAGCAGCAGAAACAACGTTAGCAGCAGCTGCTGCAGCAGCAGCAGTAACAGCAGCAGCAGCAGCAGCATCAGCAGCAGCAACAGCAGCAGCCTGTGGGGCGCTGAGGTGCTTCCTTATTATTCATGCTGCACAGGTGGATGCTTCGAAGAGGAGACAAAACAGAACATCATTGGGGCCTCTGCAAACTTTGACCTGCAGCAGCAGCTGCAGCAGCTGCTGCAGCAGCAGCAGCAGCAGCAGAGGCAGCAGCAGCAACAGGTAGACCGGTGGGATTGCGAAACATGGAGGCAGCAGCGCAGCGCAGCAGAGCCCTTCATCAGCAAGGCAGAGCAGCAAGGAACAACAGAGGCAGCAGCAGCAGCTGCTGCTGCTGCTGCAGCTGCTGCTGCTGCTGCGCACCCTGTGCTGCTTGCTGAAGCGCTTTTGAGTGAGGAGACGCTTCATGAGCCACCAAGTGTGTGCTCACCTGCTGCTGCTGCTGCTGCTGCTGCTGCTGCAGGTACCCGCAAACAACAGAAGCAACAGTGGCAGCAGCTGCAATCTGAGCAGCAGCAGCAGCAGCAGCAGCAGCACGAGCAGCAACTGGGAGGTGCAGCGCAACAGCAGCTGAAGATGATGGATTTGCTCGACCGA